TTTAAAAATTAAAGTTGTTTTAATTTTAAATTTCTACTTTGGACATTGTCAAAAAGTCGAGTTGGCTCAGACTTCTCTCAAACTATGGGAAGCAAGCTGTGGTTTAATAATATCCTCTAATATGCTGATTTTATTCCACCTCCACTCCCATTTCGTGATTTTGCATCCCTTGCATTCATGAATATATCATTGCACGACCCATGGCCCTAATTGAATCAGAATCTCTGCAGATGGTGCTCAGGAGTACATATTTTTTAAGTTGACCAGCTGATTTTAATGTGCAGCCTCTCTCAGCATCCCATTCCTCAGCTTTCACAAAAATGTGGCTATCACATCTAGACCCATTTTTTAAATTGCTCAATCTCTTCACAGGCACCTCCAAATCAGAACGTCCAAAAATGAACCTATCGTTCCCGCTAAACTTGTTTATCTTACTACCACCTTCCATCTAAGTTTCCCAAGCCAGAAAAATACAAATTCCTTCCTCTCCCTCTACTCCCTACCTATAATCGGACTCAAGAGCTGTTCTTTCAACTTCAATATTTCTGGAATCCCTTCTCTTCATTCTCACATCTTCTCCAACCTCTTAATTGGTCTCCTTATCTATAAATCATTTTCCACACTGGAACCTATCGTCCTGCTTAAAAATCTGTCACTGGCTCCCTAGTTGAAAACAAAAACCACAGCTTCCGCGTATGTTATATGAAGACTCCCATAACTTGGGGGGCTTCTCTCTCTCCAGCACCATGTCCGTGCTCTCTCCTTGACCCTTAACTCTAGCCATTCGTCCAGCTATCCAAACTCAGGGTACTTTCCTTGACTTTGCTCTTCATCTTTGCCTATGCACCACTTTTTGCATTACCCTTCCCCTAACCCATTTAACCTGCAACTTGCAGCTCAGACACATTCTCCTAGTTCTAGAAGGCTTCTCTGACATGTCTCTGTCCCCTCCCTCCCCACTCCCTACAGGCTAGCTGCCACTCTATAGTGCTTTCACAGCACTTATCAAACTAGATCGTAAGGTATTGCCTGTTTATCTGAGCTCTTTCTTGCCATCTGTATCCCTAATGTATGTTACATAGCGGGCTGGAGTAAATGTTGAATGAATGAAGACATTCCTAGCCGTATCTCAGGGCCAATTGGTTCTTTACTAACTTCTAAAATTGCCTGGTCAAACTCAGAAGATGTGACCTCTGCAAGGCTATTTATGGAAGATTCTGAGCTCTTTAGTTCTTGCCTTTAAATTATGCCTCATCTGACCACCCTGCCTCCTTCCCCGGAGGGATCAATGTGAACCAAAAAAGGAGCACTTTACCTGAATAGATAGTAGAGAGGAAAGCCTGAGAAGGTATAACCACAGATTATTTCATGAGCTTTGGAAGGGAAAGCCATGAAAAGATAGGAAAGCCTCCCACAGGGCAGGTCAGAGTACGAGGCAAAAGCTTTATAACTTTTTGATAACCATCTGAGAGTTTCACAAGGTACGTATACGCCTTGTAGTTAATAAATTCCAAAGATTTTTCTATGCCTTCTTTTAGATACTATAGGTTGATTTTCACTTATCTTGCTGAAAGTAGAGATCCTCGAAATGTACAGGTTTAACATTTTTGTCAGACTTCAGAGGTCCCTGACAGGTGTAATAATTTATAATTGTGCTGAGTCATAATTTTGAATCATCCGTGAGCGTGGTAGACGCCTCAGGATCCACATCCTAACCCATCATGTCACAGTAGCCCATTAAAGGACTAAAGAAGGGATTAGAATGTTTCAGGTACATTGACTGTCCCTAATGGAGGAACTTATATACCACAGTGATATTCAAGGTTGCAGGATGCAGCTCTCACAGATGTCAAGGGTCTACTGCCATGGTTTTTAGCTTGCTAGAAAAAACCTTTGCTGAAATGTCAAGTTCAGCAATGGTAATCAGGCAAATGACTTGAACAGATAAGAGGCCTTCTCAAGAACCATACTAGAAAAATAATACTGACAACATAGCTAATTTTGTGGACATGAGAGCCTTGAGAAATCAAGGAGCCTGGGGGCTGAACTTCAAGGATGCTCCTTCCTTCAGGTGGACTCCCAAAATGGTACTCTCCACATTAATAAGCCTTTGGAAATAGAAATGTGCATTTCAGCATGTGATATAATCCAGGAAGAAATGATTTAATTATCAGCTGCCTTCCAACCCAGTTTCTCCCAGAACACAAGGTTGTAGGTCACAAACTCTGGGGTTAAACAAACCCAGCTTTGAATTCCAACACTGTGACTAACCAATCAGCTATGCAACTTCAAGTGAATGTACTTAAATTAGGCTATTTTTGAGAGCCTTTTTTCATCTTCAAAATGGCGGCTGTAACATTTTCCTCTTAAGTGTAAGCCAGACAATGTTCAGAGTTCCTATCTCAGTTCCCTGGACCCTGGAGCAGATGCTCAGTAAGTGTGCAGGCCCTCCCACAGGGCAGGAATTGTGCTCGCTCTGAGGCCCCCTAGGTTACTTTGCCCATCTCCTCGCCTCCCTGAACTTTACAGAGAAAACCTCAACAAGCATTTTCACTGTCGACACTTTTCTCCAAGGGCTTCAAATCAATACTCGTTATGTTTCAAAATACAGAATTTGAATTCCTACATGAAGCAGCTAAGAATCTGAGAATCTAAATGGACAAAAGAAATTAAATTCAAGAATACTTTTACTGTTTGAGTTGAAACAGGTCCAGTATCAAAAACACTAGAAACGATTCCCCTATACCAAAGTGGGACATTGACGACTACATTACGTTGAAGCAGTAGGAGCTATTAAAAATGCTCTTCTGCTCACGGGCCCTCCAGAATGTTGCTGAACAGCTGAAACATCTGGAAATCCGTGCCCAGTTTTTCTTTCAATTTCTCATGAAGATCAGGCTCCCACACTCCCAAGAAGCACAAATCACCCTGGCACCAGTTCTCCACCCTCTCCCCACCACCACTTCCCACCTGGTAAGAGTAGAAATGAATCAGACAAACAATATGACTTTTTAAAAATTATTTAATTTAGTAGTTTTCTTGGAAAAAAAACAATAAGGCAAAAAAACCGAAAATATATATAGTTTTGTTTTGTTTTCATGTGACTTTATTTCACCTGAAGGACTCAAAGCTTCTTCCATTAGCAGGAATCTGACTGGGGATCAGGCTGGAAATGTAGTGCAGATGGTGGAGGAAGAAAAGGGGGATAAAGCAGGGAAGTTCAGTTTAGTTGGGGAATTCCCACCCTGTCCAGAGCCCCTGACTACGTCAGCGCTTTTACAGGCCTCCTTGAAAGAAGCCCAGCATGACCCCTTGCTTATGTCGGGAATCAGGTCCTTAGGAGGAAATTCCCCAGTAGTTTCCCCTCTCAAGTTCATCACAGCCAGGATGGGTGGGATGGTGGGGAAGGAATGAGAGTACTAATTTACCCAGTATAAACCCAACATAAACCCAGCTTCCCCGGAGGGCTGGCTTCCTCTGGAATGCTATTTCCCCCCAGGACCCACCCTGGCTGAGGCTCTGCAGTTAAGGAACAGAAACAAAAAACACTAACAGAAAGCATACAAGGAAGGCACCTCAATTTGTGATCCTCAACCAAGGGTGGGTTGCACAGGGGTCAGATTTCTGAACAAGACAACTAAAACAAATAAAGAACACAAAATGAAGGAAGCCAGGGCCCCAGGGGAGCAGTCCTTTCGCCCCCCTCTTCCCCCGTGATGGTGCCTGCAGCCCCGTCTCCTGGAAAGAAGGTTCTTTTGGGAATCAGCTGTGTGTGCTATGATTTGGACAGAGGCAGAATTAAACTGGAAATTACCCTCCTGACTTTCTACCCATACTTTTCCTAATAAAAGAAGGGAAAAAGGCAGGAAAGAGGTTGAGATTTCATTTTCAAGACTCAGATAATTAGGAGAGCAGAGTCTAGACAGCAGTGGCATCCCATGATACAAACCATGGATAGAATCCCTGTTCAGTAAGTGCCGGACACGATCCTGCTCAGGTTTTGAATCTGTCTGCCCCTAACAGATGGAAAGCAGAGGAGGCTCCAATCCACATCAGTGTGTCCAAGAGAGTCCCAGGGAGACAAGTGATATCAAAAAATGAGATTCTTAATGGGAAGAAGGAAAATCGAACAAAAAAATTAGATTTTTCTCTACATATATATAATATACAGATATGTAACACATTATTCCAGAGGTGGCTCCAGTCCATGGGGCTTGAGAGATGGTGAACTTTTATTCTAGACTAACTCCTTCTCTCAAATGCTGAATCAGAATGGGACAGGTAATGTTTTGCTCCATACTGGGGCACAGACTCAAATTGGTATTGTGCCAAGAGAGAGAAGAGAAGCTAGAAAGGCAATGAAGGATGGGGTGAGGAGGAACTGGCAAAGCAAAAATGGCTAGCAGTCTTTTTCCATCCTGCCTTGTGTTCTCAGAAGTTCTCCGCCTGAGGAAGTCCATGAAACCCCTTTGTGAGGATCATGAAACCCTCCTACCAACCACCGAAGTGGCCTCCAGTTGCTGTCAAAGAAGATGGAGAAGAGCAGAAGGGTGTTTTACACAAGTGAATATCAACTTCCAAGGATGTAACTCTGAAAATTCCAACTTTACAGAACGATCCCTCTCACACGTGTCCCAACACCTCAACTATCTATGCATGGATGCTCCATTAAATTGACCCCAGTGGTGAACACGTTCATAATGTCAGGCCATGTCACTGCAATCATTCATGATGCCTCCGTTGGTAGGATTTCGTGTTTCTTTTTAAAGGAATTTCTAAAATCAGCTCTTGCTGTGAACAGCACCAAAATGCCCCTGAATCATAATCTGAACGTAGATCTTGGCTGAGCAGGATACTACAAGGGGAGGGTGAATGACACCATCTTAAATGGGGGCAGAGGGAGAAGGAAGAGCCAAGAATACCTGACTTTGCAGAAGTGAAATAACACTAACTTGCAGCCACTAAACCCCTCCCTTACAAACATAGGTATCTAGTATGTCTTCAGTTTCAATCGGCTAAGGCAACCAGCCAATCACCACCACTGGTGTCTGCTTCTGGTGACTGATTGGGAAAAATGATTGGTTAAGACAGACAAACTTGAGGAAAGCACTCGGTCAGAGAGCCACGACTGCCAGCTTCCCGCACATCCTCTGTCCTCTTCTCCTGTGGGTCCTCCTCCTTTTCATTACTGCCACTTCAGAAAATGTCCGGGCATGAGTTCCAGTCCTGTTTCTCTTTACACTCCCAGTATCCTCCCCTATAAATATGGGTTAACTCCTTGGTAACAGGGTCCTTCTTCCGCTCAAACCACAGTGCCTTGTAGGGATCATAGGGCGTGCCTAAAAGGGAAAGAGGGTACAGAAAACCGGAATTAGAGCCGAAAACACATGGGCATTCTCCACGCATCAAGAAATAGAGTCGAGGGCAGGTTTGTTACCATCCTCTGTGGCTTTCATAGCTTCCGCTTCTCTCTTCTTTCTGGAAAGTCTTTGTTTCTCCTCCAGGCGCTGCTTCTCAGCATTTGCTTCATCCCAGCGCCCATTTTCCATCAGTCTCTGGTCGGGCCGTAACCGGCTGTCCGTGGGGGCAGTGCCAGCTTCCCAGGCATTGAGCGTTAGAGCAAGCTCTGAGAAGTAGTACATGTTTTCTGCATTCTTCCTAAAAGTAAAGGATAAGAAAGAGAAAGGGTAATGCCAGAGGCCAGACCCTAGCTGGTTAAACAGCAACAGCTAAGTACACTGCCAAAAGACTACGTCACCAAGGCTGTCCTACAAATGCAAAGACTTAGGACCTTGTCAGCTTCCTCTAATTAAGAGACCCAAACTGGACCATTTCCCATCCTCTCCCCAGCATCACTCAATTCCATAGTTTTCTGGGCTTGTGTTGTGCTCAGCTGAAATTAGGAAGAAATTTCTTAGGAAGAATGAAACATTCTACTAAATGAAAACTCCTTACTCCCGTTTCCTTTGCTTTCTTTTTTAAAGATTTTTTTTTTTTTTTTTTTTTTTTTTTTTTTTTTTTCCCCCAAAGCCCCAGCAGATAGTTGTCTGTCATAGCTGCACATCCTTCTAGTTGCTGTATGTGGGACGCGGCCCCAGCATGGCCAAAGGAGCGGTGCGTCAGTGCGCACCCGGGATCCGAACCCGGGCCGCCGGCAGCACAGTGCGCGCACTTAACCGCCAAGCCACGGGGCCGGCCCTCCTTTGCTTTCTTTTTAACCTCTTCCCGGGATAATCTTAGTTATTACTACAGACTGAACACATGAGATGATGACAGGAGACAAATGGCCTCTGTCTTAATTTACTTCCAAAGTCTTGTACATTATCTCAGGGACCTTTATACTGCCGCTGGGCCTTTAGGCTAAACGTTAACAGGTGGTAGGCATCTTTCTCCTCTAGCCGCTTCTGAATAGTTTTGCTCCAAATTATAGAAAAATATCTGTCTGAATCACAATCCAAAGGTCCTTTGGAAAGCATTAAATATTTTTTGGCAGATGTGGTTTGATTAGTTTGAACTTTCTTGGGACAGGGCACGCTACAACTCCAGCCATACCGTGACAACCTGCTGGTAATCTCTCCAAAGGTTCTGATCTCCCTTGCTCAAATCCCTCACTTGATTAAGTGGGAAGGCAGGCCGAATTGCTGTCAGTCCTGCCCTGAGGCTAACGTCACAGTAGCATCTGGGCAGCATGCATGCTGATACTCACGGTAAAGGATTCCTTTTCCACAGCGTGACCCTGCTTTCCTCTGCTTCGTGGCCTCTCTGTCGAGCATCACCCCCATTTTCCCCAATGACTGGATGTACTTTGAAACAATCCATTTTCTCATCCCACGTCCCCAGAAGGGCAAAGTGAACTTTTCCTGATGGATCTGTCACCTCCCCTGTCACCTACAAGGATGGAGAGCAGGGCTTTGGAGTTCAGCATTTGCTGTGGTTTAGCTTACCTGACTGTTCTGGAAACCAAAGTCCTAGGGTTAATACTGGGTAAATCCTCTTATGACAAATACCATGGAGTCATCCAAATTATTTTGTTGTATTTTCCTGAGCTGCTTAAAATAACTGAGCCATGAGTTGGAGGCTTCATTATCATTTTGTTGTATAGGGATTTTTTGCACTGATAGTATGTAGGAAAAGGATCTGACTGGTATTCTCTTCTCTCTAGAAATCAGAGAGAACCACCAACAGATTTAAATCCCCAACTATTCTTCACTCTTCCATCGAAACTCACGGCACAATTCCACTGTGGTGGTAACACACAACTCTCGCTCAAACTTCACAGGGGTCCAACTGCCCAGGCCTTCTTCCTGAAATCCTTTATTAGTCCTTCCCATGTGTTTCTCATTCCTTTCCTACTTGTTGTCTTTTCCAGAAAAGAGAAGAATTTGGTTGAGTAATGCAATCTAGTCCGTTTTCTTGTTGACTTTGTCCTTTACCTCTCCTATTTTCGAATCACCATGTTTAGGAGATACAGATATCTCTCTATCTATACCAGCCCCAAAGAAGTAGGCTTTCTAAGGGATACACACTAAAGGAACAAAATTTAAATTCCAACCTCTCTTACCTTTCTTGCTACATCCCGAGAGAAGTAGCTATAAGGAACAAATTTAAGATTGCACTTGTCTCCTGTCTTGTGATTCACAATGTCAATTTCACCAGACTATCAAATAAAAGAATCAGGGATTAGTTTTATTAAGACCGGATGACTGGAATATATTCCAAACCTCCATGCCTCATAATTCTTTACTTTTCAATCTTACATTCTAGCACTTCCTTGCTTAAGATTCAGGTCTTAGCCAACCTGAAGATGCCGTGGAATCCCCTCATAACCTTGGATTCTAGGGTGGGATCAAGACCAAATGACCTTTTGTTTTTTTTGAATTATGTGTCACATGCTAAGTGGCATGAATTGACCTTCAGCACATATAGTGATATTCACATGATAACTCACCTTTCCAAACCCATCCCTCACTAGTACTCTTCATGACAATTCTGTGCTTAAATCAAAGTACTCTACTCACAATTTCAAAGTTACATACAGCAGGCCTTTCCACACTTGATTAATTTCATTTTCTCCTCCTTTCTATCTTCCAAATCCCAAACTAGCTTAATTCCCACATCTATAGCCTCTCTCGACTGCTCAGACAGTATTCCCTGTCTTTTCTGAATTTACTGCAACCATTGTCTTAAAAGCAAATTGACAATTAATTAGATATTATCTTAGTACATCTCTTACACTAGTGAATTTTGTTAAATAATTTTCAACCTACACATATCTGTCCTCTATCTTCAATAATAAAAGAACTCTTTGAAGGACAACATCTCATCTGACTTTGTATCCCCAGGACCCAGCACTCTGCCTGGCAATAACTGTTTGATGAATAATGAAGGGATGAAGAATGGGAGCCATGTTTATTATTTTTTTGGTATCCTTTATAGTGCCTAACACAGTCCTAGTAGTCACTGAATGCATGTTATAACTTGGTCATTTGTAAATAATAATTTGTGGTATAGAAACTCAGGGAGGTTGGGGGTGGGGCTACTGAGAAAAATTCCTTAGGAGAAACTAACAAACCAATAACAACAGTCTGTAGCCAGTTCATATGTCCTAAATACTGCACGATGGACCTCAGGAGGGGTTCTTCTGAACTTCAGAAGCCCTTTGGGCACCTTTGCTCACCTGATCTATCCACAACTTGCCCACGATAATGTTGTGCACTGTTGTGGTAACTTTCTTCCAAGTGTAGTGGTGCCCAGTTGCATGGAAAATACAGTGGATGCTACCTGGAAGCAGAGAGAAATGCACAAATTGGGCCAAATATTAGAAAACTAGCACCATGCCAGTAAGAAATATCAATGGGTTGATTTTCTGCTATCAATATTTCCTACTTTTAAAAAGAAAACAATAAATCAAAAGGATTTATAACCTTCTTAAATATTGGAAGTGAAAGCAATGATTGAATTTTTTTCACTTGATTTTTAAATTTGTAAATACTATATAACTAAATGATGACAAATGCTAACAACCCACACAGCTTAGCTAGGAAAGCAAAATTCTGCAATTATAGAAATAAAAATGAAAGCAAATACCCCAATGTTTTTACTAACTGTGCCTGCCATACCAGCTGCAAAATTTACAGACAGGTCAAATCTGCCCCAACATGAGAAAGTAAAATTGCATTGTAGAAAGGAGCACACACTGGCAGTCAGTACTGGGGGCCAGGCCCTGTTGTTAGTAACTAGCTGTGTGACTTTAAGCAAACCACCTATCTAAGAGCCTTAATAGTAAAAAAGGAGTAGTGGATAGAGCAGAGGCTTTGGAATCAGACAGAACTGGATTCAGTCCTGGCTCCACCACTCATTAGATGTGTGACTTGTGTTATATAATAAGAATTTGTCTGCTCTTTGTCTATGGTTCCTGGGGGGACATCTTTAAATCCCTGAAATTTCCCAAGTGATAGTGTGTGTTTGTTTACTTTTTTGTCTGCTTAAGAAAAGAATGCAAGCTAAATGAGGGCAAAGTGGCTGTTTTACCACCATTGTACCCACAGCACCTAGAATCGTTTCTGGCATATAGTGGGCAGTCAGATATCTGTTGATAGCTCAGATGCAGGCACTATTATCCCCTATTGCTGCTGTAACCAATTACCACAAACTTTGTGGCTTAAAACAATACAATTTATTCTCTTACAGTTCTGGAGTCAGAAGTCAAAAATCAGGGTGTCAGAAGGGCTGTGTTCCTTCTGAAGGCTCCAGGGCAGAATCCATTTTCTTGTCTTTTCTAGCTACTAGAGGCCACCTGCATTCTTTGGCTTGTGGTCCCCTTCCTAGCATCACTTATACCTCTTGCTTCTGTTGCCAATGACTCTGATCCTCCAGCCTCCCTCTTATAAAAAACCCTTGAGATTATATTGGGCCCAGAGAATAATCCAGGATTATCTCCCCATCTTGAGATCCTTAACTTAACCACACCTGTGAAGTTCCTTTCACTATGTAAAGTGACATTCACAGGTTCCAGGGATTAGGATGTGGATATATTTTGGGGAATGGGGGCATTATTCAGCCTACCATACCCCCATTTTACCAATGAAGACTCTGAGCTCAGAGAAATCAAGTAATTTGCCCAGTGCCAGAGCTGAAATTCAAAATAAAATCAGAATATCTGTACAGCCCAATACCGTAACCCTATATCCCATCCTGACGATGTACCTGTTGTTCTGCACAGCATCCCTTCCAGCTCACAGGGACAGTGGAAAAACAACACCCTGTGACTATCCTCTTTTATACAGTATTTGTGTCTTGAAAACTTGACAATACAATAAAGAGCTAAACACTGAGCTGTTTAAAATGTACGAAGGGGAAGATAGCCACTTCCAGAATGGTGGAGTAAGGACTTCCATATATCCACTTCTCAATAAAATCAATAAGAACACACTAGCAAAAATTATCAGAATCAACTTTTTCAGAACTCTGGAAATTAACCAAAAGCTTACAATAATCCAAGGAGCATTTATTCAAGAAAAAATGGCTCAATCCTATCCCCCTCTCCCCAGCTCGGCAGCAGCCTCACAACAAGGTAGCGGTGAAAACCAGCAAGCAACCTAGCCAACACTGGAGGGAGCAGAACAGTATGAAGCTCACCAAAAGCCTCATCTCCAAAGAATGGTCATTATCTGACCTATCTGGTGCTCCTTATAAACTCCCACTCACAGGACCTGACTCAACACCTGCTCACATCAAACGGCCTTTGCCACCCTGGGGTGACCATCAAAACAATCAGTGACAATTGTTTAACACAGAAGCTGCCTGAGGTGGTGAGAACAGTGGGAGCAACTGAAGAAATAAAGGCCCCAAATCCTCCAAATCTGATGAAAAACATTAACCTACACATCCAAGAAGCTCAACGAACTAGGATATACTCAAAGAGCAGCACACGGAAACCCATCATAATCAAACTATTGAAAGACAAACACAGAGAGAAGCTTGAAAGCAGTAAGAGAGAAGTGAGGCATCATATATAAGTGATCCTCAATAAGGTTATCAGAAACCATGGAGGCCAGAAGGCAGTGGCATGACATATTCAAAATGCTGAAAAAGAGTGTCATATCAAGAATTCTATAGGCAGTAACACTATCCTTTATAAACAAAGGAGGGCTGGCCCCATGGCTTAGCGGTTAAGTGCGTGTGCTCCGCTGCTGGCGGCCCGGGTTCAGATCCGGGTGCGCACCGACGCACCGCTTCTCCAGCCATACTGGGGCTGCGTCCCACATACAGCAACTAGAAGGATGTGCAGCTATGACATACAACTATCTACTGGGGCTTTGGGGGAAAAATAAATAAATAAAATTAAAAAAAAAAAAAAGAACAGTATAAACAAAGGAGAACTTAAGACATTCCCAGATAAACAAAAACTGAAAGAATTCGTAGCTAGCAGATCTGCCCTTCGAGAAATAATAAAGGAAGTCCTTCAGGCTGAAATGAAAGGACGCTAGACAGTAACTTAAATCTACACTAAGAAATAAGGAGACCGGTAAAGGTAACTTCAATTAAGCTACATAAAAGACAGTATAAATGTATTTTTTGCTTGCAACTCTTTTTTTCTCCTATACGATTTAAAAGACAACTGCATGGGCCGGCTCCGTGGCTTAGCGGTTAAGTGCGCGCGCTCTGATGCTGGCGGCCCGGGTTCGGATCCCGGGCACGCCCCGAGGCACCACTTCTCCGTCCAACGCGAGACCGAGTCCCACGTACAGCAACTAGAAGGATGTGAACCTATGACATACAACTATCTACTGGGGCTTTGGGGGGAAAAAAATGAATAAATAAAATCTTAAAAAAAAAAAAATAAAATAAAATAAAAGACAACTGCATAAAGCAAGTTATAAAACTATGTTGATGAGATTATAATGTATAAAAATACAATTTGTATGAAAATAAAAGCACAAAGGAGGGAAAGGTAATGGATCTGATAGTGCATAGTTTTTGTATACTATTAAGTTGGTATTAATCTGAACTAGATTATTAGAAGATGTTAAGTATAATAGCCAGGGTAACCACACAAAAATACTTTTAAAAAATATAGTAAAAGAAATAACAAGGGGGCCGGCCCTGTGGCTTAGCGGTTAAGTGCACACGCTCCGTTGCTGGCGGCCCGGGTTCGGATCCCGGGTGCACAGCGACGCACTGCTTCTCCGGCCATGCTGAGGCCGCGTCCCACATACAGCAACTAGAAGGATGTGCAGCTATGACATACAACTATCTACTGGGGATTTGGGGGAAAAAATAAATGAATAAATAAAATTATAAAAAAAAAAAAAGAAATAACAAGGGAATTAAAATGGTAAACTAGAAAAATACCTATTTAACACAAAAGAAGGAACTAATGGAGGAATAGAGGAACAAAAAAGATATAAGGCGTACAGAAAACAAATACCAAAATGGCAGATACAAATCCTACCTAATCGGTAAATTATAATAAATATAAATGGATTAACAACTCTAAGCAAAAAGTGGAAACTAGAAGAATGGATAAAATATATAAGGGGAATGTTTTGACTAAAGTGCCCTTTGGGGCAAATTCAAGGTCCACGGAGCCCAGCAGTGTCATTGACACAGAGATCGACAGGCTGAATGGTTGTTTCATTCATGTTTTCAAATTGTGATTCTTCTGGAGTTAGAAACCTCTAAAACTATAAAATAATACTCTTATTTAAATGTATCTCTTTGGGGCCAGCCCAGTGGCACAAGCGGTTAAGTGCGTGTGCTCCGCTGCAGCGGCCCAGGGTTCCCTGGTTCAGATCCTGGGGGCGCACCGACGCACTGCTTGGCAAGCCATGCTGTGGTGGCGTCCCATATAAAGTGGAGGAAGATGGGCATGGATGTTAGCTGAGGGCCGATCTTCCTCACAAAAAAAATAAATAAATAAAAAATAAAAATAAATGTATCTCTTTAAACTTGAAGGCTAACACCTAGTTCCAATACTCTGGAACTTGATGAGTAAATTCACCTTCATCCTCTACCATAGTTTTCATCATTTTGCAAACTTCAATTATAATTCCTGGAAGCATTCTTCTTTCCAGATTGCAAGAATTCTAACATTTTTAGTGTATTTTACAGGGAGACTCAGACTTCCTGCCACCACCTCAAAAAACCACCTATCTGCCTACTCATTCACAACCTTGTCCATATGTCTTTTTTCAGTAACATCTATTGGCTTAACAATTTACCCTCTGAGAGCTGAGTGCCACTGCAAATGTGAAAATTTCACTGCACGATTCTTCGTTCAAGTCATTGATCCAAAAATATTAAATACAGCCATCCCAGGGCCAATGTCTGAAAATCTCACTCTTTATACTTCTATATTCCATTTCCTGTCACTATGTCAACTCTGTTCAATCTCCATATGAAGGCTGGGATCTTTGTTTTGTTCACTTACATTTCCCAAGCACCCAGAACCATGCCTGGTCCATGGCAGGTACTCAGTATCTAACAGATGGAGGGACTTAACAGAACACATCCTGCTCATCCGAATCCTAGATAACCATAGGAATGGAATCCTATCAAAGATATTTTTAACTCCAAAAAATTAGATCCACCACTTATATCATGTTCATATGGTTATTTACCCCTCAAAGAATTCTAGATGTAGATATAAAATTCTACATAGATATAGAATTCTATAATTCTAGTCAAACTATAGAGAAAATGTACAGCACATCATTGGTAAGTTAGGTATGTTGCTGTTTTTTAAATGTATACAAGCTTCCTTAGAATTAAATATAATCCATCCTTTAGAGATCCTCAGGGGGCCTCTGAAACTCTTCTCCATGGGTGAAAGTCATCCTACGGTATGACCACTGACATCAACTTCTGTAGGTTAGGTGTGGACATCCCAGGCATTCACTACTCAACATAATACTTCTGAAATTATTCGCTTCAAAGACAATTAAGCAATTAGAACCTTTTTAAAGGTCCTCAGTAAAGATCAAGACCAAAATCAGTCTCCTTTTCATCTAAGCGCCTTCTGCATATGAACCATGAAGTGATAGAGCTAACACTCCAGTTTCTTTTCTTTTAATACATTACAAACATTCCTGGATTTTTTTCTGACTAATTTTCAGTTTGCACTATATTTTTAGTTTGCTATATTTTGCATTTTTGAGAGAAAGGGGAATTTATTAAAGAAGAAGATCATACTGCAATAACCAAGCATTGCAACTAGGCCTGATGAAAAACAAAAGCCAGGAAATGGAAGCCATCAGGAGCTCAGGCAGTTACCGTCAGCTCTGTCTCTAGGGAGCTACTTGGTTTTTCTCTCTGTCTGCTTTGTTTCTTTTGCTGTAGACCAGCATTCACTCTTCAGTACACAGCCAAACATGGCTGCTCTAGTTCAAAAGAACATGAAGAATCTCTATACACTTTTTGAATAATCTCATTTCCACTAAAGTATAGAGTCTAACATTGCATATTAGGATTCCTATTCCCAGGCCTGATCTTTTCGATCTTGGTGCAAAATTAACTTGTAATCCAGTAAGATCTTTTAAAATAAAGTTTCATCTTACCTGGAGTTCAGCCATTACACAAATGATACCTAACCCATCCAGTAGAGGGAGAGAGAGGGGAGAAAGGAGAGGAGAAGGGGGAGGGGCTAGCTGAGAAACCCGACCTTGCAGTCACAAGAGTTCTGATTTTAGCGAGAACCTGATTGCTAGGGTAATGGGGGAAACACTGGTCAAGAGACAAAATGTTAAAAATGCATGCTAGAATTTATATTCTAAAATAGTGACTTAAAGATGCATTCAATATAGCTAAGAACATAGAGAATTTATGGCTGGGTGGGTTCTTAAAGACTCTCGTGCCTTCTCACTCATCCGACAGCTGAGAAGTTAAATGACCTGTGCAGAGCTGACTAGTGAGGTTCAGTGCCCAAATCAGACCTCCAATCTCCTGACTCCTAAACTAATGACCTCCTCTATTAAGCCAGAAAATCTGTCATTCCTGGAGCACTAATTCTTACAAAGACAGTGGCCTTACCGAGGGGCATAATGGAGAGGTATTTGCCTCGAAACTTGCTGGTGATTTTGATTTCCTGACGCAACGTCCAGCCATTTTTGGACTCTGCGTGGTGTGCAGCAGCAGGGGGATGATGACTCACCTTGAAGAAATCAGTGGTGCAAATTAAGAAGGAAGAAAGGAGAAGGAAAAGACACTGCCTATTTATTGGTGATAAACACCCAAAATTCACACTTGACGTTTTAACACCCACCACAGTAGGTGAATACCAGGGCCTCCCGTCTTGAAGCCCTGAAGGAAAAGAAGGGAGGCGGCATGACAGGGACTGGAATTTCTGCCAAAGTAACACCCAGGAGGATCAACCAAAAAAATCATCCCTTTCTTCAAAAAGGAAATATGTCACCGTCCTGAAGCTCCTTTACCTGCTCACAGAGGGATCGGTACCCATTCTCCTCTAATCGGTCCAACTCAAAGGTCTCCCCAAGGAGTGGGTTGAATGGTTTGCTGGTACGGAAGACAGTAGTGGAATAGGAGGACACGGTGAAAGCTGCAACATAACAGAGCTGTTCTAGAGAGTTCTCACATTTTGCAGCTCGGTCTAACAGCTCATGGTATTCCAGATCTTCAGTGAGGCGCTGAAGCATGGATAAGGGCTCATTAAAGTTCACCTGTCAGGAAAAGAACAGATATAAAAACTTGGCCCACACATCTATAAGAGACAGTTTAATTTTTTTGCATGTGGAGAAACATATCGAGATGTCAAGATGACAAAGCAAATCACTGGGAAGAGAAGAGGCCTTCGCTCAGTAAAGCAGCACTAAGATCTGACCTGAAAGCAACCCATTCTCCCTGGTCAACTGTTCATGTTAGTGAGTGGTAGAAATCACCATTTTCATTTATTTCAATAACCGTAAGCTCTTTGAGATGGGTACCGTGCCTCTTCTGTTCACCCCTGCATATCTAAGAACCATCAATGCCCAGCCCATAGGAGACTGTCATTGAATAGGTATTGAATGAATGAATAAAAGAGGAAATGTGTTTGAGCACAAGTTATACCCAGAGAGGAAGTTAAGTATTTAAAATTCTTGAGGGAGGAAAGAAAGGGTAGTAAATTATAAGCACAGGCATTTCCTGACTAGTGAAAAGAGCACATTACACAAGTTAGCTTCCACTCCTGGACCAGACGATCGCTAAGGGTCAGGCCAGGGTTTTGATGTCTTCTCTGAGGCTGGACAGTTGTGTTTCTGGACCTGGAGTGTTCATGATGGGGCTGAGACGGGGCTGTGAGTGTTTCTACCTTTCCAGTTTTAGAGCCAACTTATGGTACTCAACCGCAGGATGAAGTAAGTATGTGTGTGTGCACACGCGCACACTCTTGTTGGGGAGAAGTTGTCCATTCATTTGTGTATTCACTTATTCATTCCACAAATATTTACTGAGCCCTCACGTGTGCCAGACCCTATACTGCCCATTGGGTGTAGAGAAGCGAACAAAAGAGACATTGTCTCCTCTCCCCACCCTTCCCCAGGAAAAAAAAAAAAAAGTTAGCTTGTAAACTGACTGTTCAGAATTTAAGATGACTTTACTACTTAAAAAATTACTATAAGGAAAGGTTAGGTTCCCAGGCTACCCCATAAAGCTTATTTAATCAGCAACACATCTGAACAAGCCTGAATATCACTAGCCTGAGTTCAGAGTCCAGAGAACAGAGGAAGGTAGGAAAAAATTGCGTTTCTTTTGAATAGAGATGGCCTAAAGCAACATTTCAGTTAAAAAAACAAACAAAAGCAACACTTTTCCTTCCTATGGTCCCACCTCTTTTTCTGCATTTTGTCCAACCTCTTACCCACCAATCTCTGAGCCACATACTACTCTAATATTTACTGTCCTCCCAATTATAAAATACCTTGTAATTTTCACTATGACAAACTTTGAAAATGAAGTGTAAAGGAAAAAAATTTTTTTTTCTTTTTTTGGTGAGGAAGGTTAGTCCTGAGCTAACATCTATTGCCAATCCTCCTCTTTTTGCTGAGGAAGATTGGCCCTGGGCTAACAACTGTGGCCATCTTCCTCTAGTTTATATGTGGGATGCCTGCCACTGTATGGCTTGATAAGCAATCCATAGTTCCGTGCCTGGGATCCAAACCTGCGAACCCCAGGCTGCCGAAGCACAGCGCACGAACTTAACCACTACACCACTGGTCCAGCCCCAAGGAAAAAATTTACTTGAAATGCCATCACCCAAAGATAATCATTATTAGTATTTTCACATTTGTTTCTATGCATTTATTTATTTATTTATTTATTTGTGAGGAAGATCAGCCCTGAGCTAACATCCACGCTAATCCTCCTCTTTTTGCTGAGGAAGACTGGCTCTGAGCTAACATCTCTTGCCAATCCTCCTCCTTTTTTTTTTCCCCCAAAGCCCCAGTAGATAGTTGTATGTCATAGTTGCACATCCTTCTAGTTCCTGTATGTGGGATGCGGCCTCAGCACGGCCGGACAAGCGGTGCGTCGGTGCGCGCCCGGGATCCAAACCCGGGCCACCAGTAGCAGAGCGCACGCACTTAACCGCTAAGCCATGGGGCCGGCCCTCTATGCATTTATACATTTCTAAAAATAAATAATATAGTAGAGCCTGCTTTTTCTCTGAGAAACATACCAAGTGTTTCTCTGTGAAAATTTCTCAGTGAACAAAGACCACAGGACCAACATTAGAATACTCCTCTTTTGGGAAGTAGGATCTACCCCGCCTCAACCAAAACAGTGTGCCATGCTCCAAAACCATCTTTTCAACATTGAGAGAAAAGTAATATGATAAGAAAAATGCACACTGAGGGGCAATGGACTGATAAAACTTGAACCCTCAAGAGTCTTTTTTAAAGAAGGTGCTTATTAACTATGCCAACAAAATCTCTTACTGGCAGAATTTCAGGCAACGTGAAATAACATTTCCGTACACTATGAGGAAAACTGGGGACGGGTAGTGTCCTCCACTGGTGGCTACAAGACGTATCAGCACTGCCTGGGACTAGAATCAGTGCACCCCAAAGCTATCACTACTTTTCACAAACACACAGCCCTGCCCCCCAACAACTGTTCCAGGAACCAGAGTTTCTCTAAAAGTGCCAAGCTTTTCATATTGGTCATTTTATCACTCAGAGGCCTAACAGGGAAACAAATGAATCTGAGAATTTAAAGTGGAAGGAAGCAGGGAATTCGTTATACAGCTGATGGAGAGTTGGACAGCCAAAAAAGACAACCTGGAGATTAGCAACAGCAGGTGGCCATAACCATGGGTAGGCTGAAGGGACAAAGGGAAGCAGTGGTATTATTGCAGCCCAGAGACCAGAGGCATCTGGCAGAAGCTAAAACCTCAGGGGGGCCTGTCCAGTGAAAACGAGAGCCACACAGCTGCTGCCAAAGCACTGCCCAAGAGAACACAGGGTCGGGGGGAAGTACCCTGGGTTTCTCCCTTCCTCCCTGCTCCAAACTCCTACTGGTGCCTTGCACTGGTGGAGCCTGGCCAGATGCCAGCAGACACGGGAGCCTGAGAAACAGCATAGAGGGAGCAGCCTTCCTGTGACACTACACAGAGCAGGGGAAGGGCAAGGACTAGGTCTGCAGGCAAACAGGCATAGGGTTGCACATTCCTAGTGGCAATGTCAACAAGGAACTAATGGTAGAGGAGAACAGAGAGGTCACCTCAACTCAGAAGCTATTTCTAAGCAGGAACTGCATTTCGGAGGCTGCAATGACCAGCCTTTCCAGTCCACCTTCGCTCCACTTCCTTCAAGGCCCCAGGCAAGTGGGGCTTCTTTGTAGGCCCCTAGTGAACCAATTATTTTATGTTTCTCCAAGTATGCTTACTCCTGGCCTTTTCTTGTCTAGAGGTCAACATTTTTCTAACAAAAATCCTACATATTTACATATAAATCTATTTGTTTTGCAAGACCCAGTTAATTAATTACTTCAATGTTTGCTGAATGGTATATATGTGCCAGGCACTGGCTAAGCATCAAGGATATAAAGACCAATAAGACACAGTCTCTGCCCATGAGGAATGTAGCCTGTGGTGAGGCAGAAACCCCACACTGGTCCATAAGCCCCAAGAGGGTAGGAGAATGCTTTCTTACTTCTGTAGACAAGCCAAGCACCTGGCTGTGGGCAGAACCTGCAGCCACCCCCCACCCTCCATTTTTCCCTTCTTCTACAACTAGTAGAACCTCCAATTTTTAACTACGTCATGCCACCCAGAATAGAAGTCTTCACTTCCAGCCTCTTCTCCAGCTAGCTGTGGACATATAACCAAGTTCTGGCTATAGATATTGAAGGAAAATGGTTTATGCAATTTCCAGGAAGTACTCTTAAAAGACAGAAAGCATGCTCTTCTCTTTCCTTCTTCCTGATGACTGGAATGAGACTCTGACGGGCCAAGCTGGAGCAGCCACTTTAGATCTAGGAGTTGAAGCCATAGGCAGTAGAGACACAGGCTAGAAAGGAGCCTGGTCCTGACACTGTGGAGAACTGTACCAGCCCTGGACCACCTACTTCTGGACTTGAACATGAGAATGAGTTAAGCTAATATTTGTTCAAGGCAGGGGTTGGCCACTTTTTTCTGTAAAGGGCTAGATGGTAAATATTTAGGCTTTGAAGGCCATATGGCCTCTGTCACAGCTATTCAACACTGCTGTTGTAGGACGAAAACAGCCACAGACAACAGATAAATGAATGTCACTGTGTTCCAATAAAAGTTTATGGAAACTACATCTAAATTTCATGTAATTTTCACATCACAAAATATCCCCTTTTTGATTTTTTTCAATAATTTAAAAATATAAAAACTACTCTTAGCTTGTGGGCTGCACAGACAGTAGCCAGCTTTATATTCTGGATGTGTCTTTATATTGAACTTACGCCTGATACACTGGTGCAACACCAGGCAGATAGCAGGTGCTCAGTAAATGCTTGTGGAATGAACAAGCAAGTGATATCCACTGTCCAGACACAAACGATGTTTTGGAACACAGGGGAGAGACATCTCACCCTGACCGGATGCATGGGTGAAGGTGGGCTGAAGCAGACAGTACTACAGCTGAATCCTGAAGAAAAAGGTATTAGCCATGGTAAAGAAAAGTGGCAAGGGTGGGTGGGGAGTTGATGCAAGTTCAGGCAGAAAGAGCAGTGTGCACTGAGGGAAAAGACAACAAGATCCCTCTGAGTACCTGAAGGTAACTCCCAATGACTAGGATCCGGATGTGTGTGGGCAGAGCCTTTTCCATGGGGAGGAAGTCTCAAGCCCACTAAGGAATCTCAACTACCCTCAAATAAGGATCTAGTAAAGGATTTTAAGCTGAGGGGTGACATGACTACATTTTCAATTTTAAAAAGATCACTTTGGGCAACAGTGGGGACAGACTGGAAGAGGGTGTGACGAGAGGCAGGGAAATCAGCCCCAACACCATCTTCACCATGAGATGGTCCTCATCTCCCAGGTAGAAAAGAATTGTTTTTGCTTCTGTGCTCCCTGAACCTTTGTATGTACAGGACTTCCCATAACACTACCACAGAAAATATTTTCTACCTGTTCTCATGTCTGTCTCCTTTAACTGCATGCTTTTTGAAAACAGAAACTATGCTGCATTTATCTTTGAATGCCCCCAGCACACCTAGCATAGGAATTTGCTCATAAATATAACTCTTATTGAACAAGTGCATCCGATTCTAGGTGATCTGGAAACATACCAGATCCATAGCCAAAATCAAAGCAGCTAATTTTAAGGGATAGTTGATGACTCTAATGTTAACAAAGACCATGCCACAAATTGCCACACAAGTGGGTAGGGACTACCAGGGCAGCATTCCTCCCAATGAGGCCTGAGAGGTGCCCTTGACAGCAGCCTGGGCAAGCAAGAACCTCACCGGCATGGGGATCTTAGAGAGTTCTTTTCCAATGCAGTTCTTCATGATGCTCCATAAATTGAGGCTATAGTTTGGCTTGTATGGTATTCTAGTTCTCTTTTCCTTCTTGGTCTCTTCCAGCTGATGCTTGTACTGAGAGCAAAAACGAAGCCATTCAATCATCCACAAAGAACAGAAAACCTGGTATTTACAACCATCCCTTCTCCCATGCTAAAAAAATCAGTATTTTCTGTTTCTCTTAGTGCTTTAGAGGCAAATCCTTGGGAATCACACCCAAGTCCCTCGCTCCTGATACTGTCCAAATAAGAGTTACCTGGTCATCAAGGCTGATGTCACTGCTGGCTCCACTGATGTTGCTGCCAGTACGTCTACACGGATGGGAAACGTACAAAAATTAGAGCAAAGATCAGAACTCCAATTTAGTCCTCACCACATCTTTACAAAGCAGAATGCTAAGCACACTGCACAAACTTATTAACGGGTAATTGACTGATGACATTTAGAAGATAATACGTATGAATTTAAACAACTCTGGAGAACTTGTTCATGTAAAAAAGCTGACAGTTTTCTACTTCCTTAAGGAAAAGAGTTCAGATCTTAGTCAACATCGACAACTACAATATTCTCACTGAAACATTTCTAACCTTTCGATGGTCAGATATGTTCATTTTTGGGGGGAGTCAAGAATAGCTTACTTGTGGCCCAAATTTTCAGGCATTGTGATGATCTCAGGAGCATCAAAAAATTCATTCTCATCATCCTCATCACTCATGTCTCCTTTGCCAGAGCAGCACTGATCTATAAGGAGAAAAGCCCCATTTGTTTACTTTGGCTGTTATTTTTATTTACCAAGAGCTGGCACAGCAGGATCTTTGAAATGCTAACCACAAACAGCAACAAATGGTAGAAAGCAGTGAAAAGCCAGAAGAAGTAAACAGCTGCAATTCCGTTTCATGTGAGTCATTGATTTTGGAGAATCTGGAGTTCTTCTATCAATTGCAGAAAACCATCTGCTCGTATCAGAACTGGCCACCCAACAACTATGCGTCTTACCTTTACCAGAACCAGCACTGCCAGGAGTGTTTGCCGGCAGCACGGTGGCTCCTCGGAAGGCTCTCTCCAGGTGATTATGCTGCTTCGCCAGCTGCTCGAGGGTCTCCTCCAGTCGGATACGCTGGTCTCTTTCATACTGTAGAGACTTCTGCCACTTTTTACTATGGGTCTGGGCTAACATGAGGAAATCCCTGCAGGCCTGTATGGAGAAACAGTTAATAACACATGACACATCAACTCAGCTGGTCAGAGGTTCCCCTCAGCCCCCTGTGAGCCCCGTAAGCAACCTTATTCTGGGAACTTTAACCGGCAAATTACAACGCAAGACTTGCCCTGTTATTCCACAGTATCAGGGACAGCCAGCTCTGTGATGCAACCAAGGTCAATCCCGGGGAAAAAAAAATTGATCGTGGTTGTCACGGTTCTTTTATATTTTCCTGGTCATGAGGACCAAACAAATACCAAGTGAGCAGTAAGCCCAGACAAAGTATTTGTGGCAACATCACAAAGGGTGGCTATGTGAATCCACCAAAAGAAGAAATCTATGACTGAAGAAAGATGAGGAAGAGCGTAGGGTAACTGCTTTCAATAAATGAAACTGACTAAACTCAAGTTACCTAAAGTTGAGGAATTCAGACACTGAGAACAGAGAATCTGCACTGAATTAGACCAAACATGGAGAAATAATTTGTTTTTATTTTGGTCACTAAGAGAAAGAACTGACCTTAAAAATTAGAAGCCTACCCGGGGAATCAAAGAAAGGATCTAGAGACAAAACACACATCTGATCATATCAGTCCTTCACTGACTCCCCACTGATAGTCGGACCAAATCCTAACTACTGGGTATGAACACAAAGGGCCCTTCACAGTATGGCCACCCCTTGCCTTGTGTGCTCCTCTCCAGGCAGCTGGACCTACCTCTGCACCCTACAGTGGAGCCACCATTTCTTGGACACATAGATTTCTTTCAGGCCTGCCTACCGTAGCATATGCTATTCACTCTGCCTAGAATGCCCTTTCCAATTCCCTATGTCTACTGGGCCAAGTCCTCTTCATTCTTGAGGATCTATGGCAAATGTGACTTCTTTTGTGACACTTCCCCAATCTCATAAGCAGCCAGTCTCTTCTCTACATTTCCAGAGCACTTTGCACATACTTCTATTTTACACCATCCACAGCAGTATCGTGACTGATTTTCTATCTCTCCAGATGGATTATGAGCAACATGAAGACACAGTTTATAGCTTATTCATATACATATCTCCAGCTCCTAACTTAGTTGCTTTGTACGTGGTAGAAGCCTGATAAAGTTTGCTTAATAAATAAACGAAGGAAGAAAGGAATGTAAGCTTAAAAGTTTATGCCCTGTTATAGAGAAACTAAAAGGTAAATAGAATATCTACTCCTATGGCTTCCACCTTTGCGTATAGGCTAATGACTACGAAATCGGTAATTCTAGCTCTGCACTCCTGGAGCTTCAGACCTTGCCTATTCAATAGCTCAAAGTAATCCCAAAATCAGTGGGTCCCAAATTGAACTCACCATGTTCCCTTTTTGACTCTGCTTCTCCCTTCGGTGTTCCCCATTCCAAGAAGAGTTCCAGGGCCCTTCCACCTGCCCAAGCCAGAACACCAAGAGGCATCCTTGATTCTTACCCTTTCTTCCCTCCTCACATCCAATTATCAAGTCCTTAATAATAATATTCTTCCTTAATATTTCTGGAATCTGTGCATATCTTTCCATCCTCCATATTCAGAGGCAGTACAGAGTACATACTCTGGAGTTGGATTGTTGGGACTCAAATCAAAGCTCCATCTCACTAGCTAGCTATGGAATTTTGGCCAAGTTATTTAACCTCTCTGTGCTTCATCTTCCTCATCTGTAAACAAAGAGTAACAATAGTAACTACCTCAAAGCGTTGTTGCACTACACGTAAAGCACTCAGAACCCAATTGGGCTTACAGTAAGCACTCAGGAAGGTGTTAGCCATTTTAGTTAAGCCTGCATCCATCAGTCTTATCCTCTTCTAATCCACTACTACCAAGCCCATTTAATATGATCTGCACCCCTCCCCCACACTTAATTCCTCTCGAGCCTTATCTCTAGCTACGTCTTTGCTCTACTAATAGTCAATTTCCAGCAGTTCCCAGACCTTGGGAGAGAGGAAAAGATCCCCATATACCACATCTCTACCTGGATCAATGATTCTCCCTCATTTCCTTTTAATAATATTGATCATAACTAAAATTTAGTGAGACAATTGTATGTCAGACACTTTACTGAATACTTTACATTAATTATCTACTAAAAGCCTTTCAACTACCCTGTGAGCAGCTACTAGTAGCAACACTATTTACGGAAAAGGAATTGAGGTCACAGAGGAAGTAGGTTGCCCCAAGTTATACAGATAGTTAACCAAGGAAGTTGGACATCAGGGCCCTAAGCTCTATATTGCCTTTTTTCATAGGAAGACTCTCTCTGGGGTCTTTCAGAATTTAGTTGAAGTGTTACCTTCTCTAACCCTCCTAGTCTGAGCCAAACACTTCCAATGTACTATGCCATAGCAGCCTGTGCTCATTTCTATCATGGCACTTAGCACACTCCATAGTGATCTGTTACTTCTCTGTCTCCTCACTAGATGGTAATCTCCGAGGGCAGGACCACATCTGCACTGTTTTACATTCCCTAGCACAGCACCTAGAACACAGAAGGTATCAAGAGATGTTTGCTACATTAGCAAATGGATACACTAACAGGGTAGAATTTACTCCCATTTAGATTCACTTTGGTAGTAAAAGCTATATCCTAAGCAATCAAGAAATTGAGTGAAACGTATTCTTCCTTTGATATAACTTTCCCTGTTTAGAGATGTGATGCGCTAGCATGTTAATTTTCAAGGCTTGCCATCACCACTGGTACAAAGGAAACAACACAGGAATAAAAAATGCATTTCAAGCAATAACGGGTTATGAAAGGGGCACAGGTAGTACACCAGAGGAGAACAGAATGAGAAAACAGACTCACCACTGACTGCCAAGGGATCGTTCCCTTTGACACAAACTCTGGACACTTAGAACTTGGGGAAGAACTGCCCCAAAGAGTATATTTTCAAGAGAAAAGTCCAAACTAAAGTTTCAATTTTATGAGAAATTTTTAAATCAAGAGGTGTTCTATTTAGCAAATTTTTCACATTAAGAGGAGGAAAAAATTTGTCATGGAGCAAGGTGTTCACCTGATGTGGAGAAAAGAGAACATTCACTATTAGGAGACCACTGTGTCCTGAGTTGTTCTATTTAAAAAGTGTATTTATTTACTATTGATTAATTGACCTGTATGATTTATGAGGTTTTCCTTATCACAAGAGGACCATAAAAACAGGTACACAGTCACTAAGAAGTGAGACAGTTTGGAAAAAGAGCACATGGCTAGACATCAGAAACACAAGCATCACTGCTGACTTGCAGAATGGTCCTAGGAGACAGCTGATTTTCCTGCAGTCCTTAAGAGAACAAAATACTTTGTCTCTTCTACCTTGTGTGAAGCCTGCCCTGATGGTCTAGTGGTTAAGATGTAGCACTCTACCTGCTGCGGCCTGGGTTCATTTCCCAGGCAGGGAACCACACCACCAATCTGTCGGTTGTCACACTGTGGCGGCTGCATGTTGCTGTGATGCTGAAAGCTATGCCACCGGGATTTCAAACACCAGCAGGGTCACCAGTTTTGAAAAAATTGGCCATGAAAACCCTATGAACAGCAGTGGAACATTGTCTGATAGAGTGCCAGAAGGTGAGAGGATGGTGGAAAAAGACCAGGCAGGGTTCAGCTCTGCTGTCCACAGGGTCACTAGGAGTGGGAATCCCCTCCACGGCGCTAACAAAACCATGTGTGGATCAGAGCACTGAAGAAAGTGTACAACACTTCAGAAAATGATATGAAAATAAACGCTATCACAACTTTCTATTAAGTAACAAAGGAGTTTTAAATGAGGAAAAACCAATTTTCTCTTGGCCACAGGAAAAGACCTTTGATCTCTGGGAGCCATGTGAACTAAACCAGTTCTAAGCAGATTTCTTATTATCACTCCCTAAACAAGAGAAAATCTGGCCCCAGTGAAGTAATTTCAGCCCATTTAACTAGAGAAAAAAAACCCGCATAAGCCCTTTCTCACAGAGCACTCTTCTCACTTGCCTTGTGGAACGTCCTCTAGTGTTCTTATGTGGAAGCTAACTAAAACAACCAGCCAGGTGAGAATCAGTCACTAGTAGAGGAAAAACAGCATTGTTTAAACCACGTGTTCACTCCATACCTATCACCCAGTATCTGAAATACATCAGCAATGCCACTGGTGCTTTGGGTTTACCTAGAGCCTCACACCCAAGCAGCTGAAGTATTCCACACACCAACAGCAACCACCCGAGGTAGGAGTCATAAGGAGGCAGAAGTGTTGGCCCTTTCTTTTTAAAAGAAAAATGCCCAAAGTTGAATATTTTGTCTTATCACCCAGAATTAGGCCTGAAATCAAGGACTAAAGATGGGACTATCTGGTATTATAAGGTTCTCACTAGCACTTGATCCAGCCCCACTTACCACACTGTAGGCTAGAATGCACTAGCAAAGTAGGGGTAAGACTCCAACTTAAAGCTCAAAGAACATGACAGCGCAAAGGACCCATGGAGACCTTTTAGTTCCAACAGATAAAGTTAGATAAAATAAATAAAACCGCAACCCAGAGAGGTTAAGAGACTCGACTAACATCACCATCAGATGTCCTGCTGGTTGCAGAAGAGGCAGGGCTGGAACTCTGGACTCCTAACTAATTCCCAGGCTGAAGCAGCCTCCTCCTGACCATTTGAGGAGGGCATGAAAGTCATTCCATCTGTGCAGCCTGTTCTATTTCATGCAACAAACAATGTAACTTAAATTCCTTGAGCAGTGAAGCAGGACCTAATGTTCTGTGCTTTATCAATTACAACTTGCCTGCATTTGGGGAGAATTACATTTCGAAGAGGGAAGGAATCAAAAAGCAACACAGATACCATCTGCACTTACATTGATCATGGCATTGGATGTTATCCTAAAGAGTGTGGCCCGTTCGTTGACCTGTTTGATCTTCTCGTTGCTCTCGGCAGGCAACCTCAGGGACTCCAGCTCACTGAGGGAGCGCTGCAGCGCTGTGCCATGCTTGGCTATCAGGTCATTGCACGTGCTCAGGTCCTCCACTTTGCTGGAAAGAGTCCGGAGGGTATTCTGCAGCTCAGTCTTGTCAGTTTGTGACACAGACTCTTCATCTCCTGACTCATCTATAGGGGGGAAAAGTGAGTTATATGACTCCAGGCCCAGGACTGAGAATCGGAACTCCACCAACTCTGCCCATGGCCAAACCCACACTCTTCACGCTGTGCATTCTGACCAAACAAGAGCCTGCCATTACCAGAAGATTTGTCCACCGTGTGGTCCACAGCCCACCTGTATCATAAAAACCTGGGGTGGTTGTTCTATTTTTTCCCTGGGGCATACAATAATAAGCATTTATTTTGTTCATTATTTTTTTTCTTCCAATTTTATTGAGATATAATTGACATATAGCACTGTATAAGTTTAAAGTGTACAGTACAGTGACTTTACTTACATATATTGTGAAATGATTAACACAGTAAGTTTAGTTAACATCCATCATCTCATATAGATATTAAAAAAAAGAAAAAAAAAAACACGTTTCTTCCCTTGTGATGAGAACTTTTAGGATCTACTCTTAGCAACCTTCAAATGTATCATACAGCAGTGTTAACTATAGTCCTCATGTTGTACATTACATCTCCAGGGTTTATTTATCTTATAACTGGAAGTTTTGAACCTTTTGACCACCCCTACCCCTAGGGTTCTTCGTAGAGGTGCAGAGTCTTCGGCCCCGCCTCCAGAAACTTTGATTTGGCTGGTGTGCGGCAAGGCCCAGAAATCTCCATTTCGAATGGAGCTGCCCAGGAAATTCTGATGCACACTGAAGTTTAAGAACCAATGACCTGGAGGACAGGATGGAGAAGCTCAATAGCTCTTGGGATTGGCAATGAATTAATAAGCCTCTTAACTCTAGCTTGAGGGGTCCAATCCAGTTCAAGATGATTATTACTGCCAATCCACTATCATCTGTTGGGTGATTGGTGGGCCTTATACGAATGGGTTGAGAATCGCAGTCTAGTCTTTGTAAACAAAGTCCACATCACTAAAAGACTCATTCATTCATCTTTTCTGAAGGAGAGCTCGGGAACTTCATGATGAGCTCATCTAACACTAAAGCCACCACGGCACTGAAAGCCATGCAAGATCTTCTGTTAAATGACTCTCTAATAATAAGTCAAGTGGAGAGCTATGTTGTACCTCTCGCCATCAGTTTTGTACTTAACGCTTTGTAACTACAGAGTGCTTTTCCAGCAGTGTCACTTCCTTTGGGGGAGCTCAAGACAGCACTAAAATCAAAACAGAAGAAATAAGGAAAGCCCTGCCCTGTCTGCTGGACAGAGAGGCAGGGCCAAAAGGAAAATGTAACCCGCTACAAAAAAACTTACACAGCAGTGAATTTTCCTTTCACTGTTTAATAGATACTAAATACAGCAGGGGAAGTGACAGGGGATAAGAAAAACCAGAGATGAACAGAAGTCAGCAGGTGCCCACCTTGGTCATCTCGCAGTGAATAAGCTCAGTGTGATTAAACGATCAACACCTGGGGGGAAATCCTACCATTTTACTTGATTTTTCTTCGTGTAAAAGATTGTTTCAACTCAACTAACAAATAGTTAAGTAAGATGATGTCAGGAGAAAGGAAAAAAGGATAGGTCCAAATTGTGACTTGTAATAATCCTAAGTCTGACCTAGGAATAAAATAATTATTTCTCAAAATCTTAAACTAGTCAATTGGCATTAAAAGCCCAAAGGACAACTGTCATGCCTCTAGGGCAGAGTTTCTCAACACTGGCACTACTGACACTTTGGGCTAGATAATTCTTTGTAGTGGAGGGCCATCCCGTGCATTGTAGGAAGTATAGCAGCATCCCTGGCCTCTACTCCTTAGATGCCAGTAGCACCACCACCCCTCAGCTGTGACAACAAAAGTGTCTCCAGATATTGCCAAATGTCCCCTTTGGGGCAGAATCGGCCCCAGTTGAGAACCACCACTCTAGGATAAATATTTCATGATGAGGAAAATCCTGAGACATCTAGGAGATAGGTGATAATTAAATGACAATGAGGGATAAAATAAGATTTGTGCATAAGAGGGGCACACAGCAAGTTCCCCAGACATGGTGTTCTTTGCTCCCTACCCGATTCTGCCAGCATCTTCACAGCCTTAGCCTTGGCCAGCTCCAGGGCCGTCACCCAGCGCTGCCGCTCCACTTCTGAGCTCGCCTTCAGATGGTAGGTCTGAGCACCCCCATTGGAAATGATGAAGTTGCAGGAGTCCTCCACGGTGATGTTGGCTGTGGCGAGGTTGATGGTACCACGGCAGGTGTGTCTCATCTCTGCCTTTGACCTGCAATAACAAGACAAAGATAAGCTAAGTCGAAAACTGATGAGTGGTTTATCCTTTATCACATTCCGTTTCTTTTCATAACTCTAAGCCTGTTGAAAATACACTAGTCTTAGGAATCAGCAAGTTCTAATATTTCCCTCATGGCTCCCTAAAATTCAAGAAACAAATTGGTAGGGATTTCCTTTCAGAGCTTAAAAGTGCTGTTTCTGAGTTAGATTTATTGCTCTGCTGTTCCTCTCACCCTTAGCTTCTTAAAAATAGGCTGCACTGAAGCATAACTACATACAATATTAATTCAGCAATTTTAAGTGTCCAATTCAGTGAGTTTTGACAAGAGTATGCAATTGCGTAACCACCTCCACAATCAAGACGTAGAACATTTCCATCACCCCAAAAGCTCCCTTGTGCCCTTTTGCTGTCAGGAATTACTTTTATTTTGCAAGTCGTAATTATAAACTCAAACAACAAAATTTCGTATAAGAATCTCATTCTGTACAAGAAAGAATAGATCCATTTTACATATACTGAACAACCCATCCCCTCAACTGGAACTCAGCCCAAATGAGAACTGTCACACTACACTTAGAATTATATTGCAGAAGTATAAGGCACACTTAGATGTTTAGACTATTAAATATTGACTACAGGGGCCTGGCCTGGTGGCGCAGTGGTTAAGTTCAGGTGCTCCGCTTCGGCAGCCCGGGCTTTGTGGGTTTGGATCCCAGGTACAGACCTACGCACTGCTTATCAAGCCATGCTGTGGCAGCATCCCATATAAAGTAGAGGAAGATGGGCACGGTTGTTAGCCCAGGGCCAATCTTCCTCAGCAAAAAGAGGAGGACTGGCAACAGATGTTAGCTCAGGGCTAATCTTCCTCAAAAAAAAAAAAAAAAGTATATATATATATTGACTACAGCTCAAAACAATATGAAATAGGAATAACTAGCTTTCTGTGGGAGTAAAGAAAGAATAATCATAAAAGAAAAAGGTGGTATATATAATCTTTCTGGAATATGTTCTTTCCTAAGGTCCATGGACCTCTATTGGTGGGAACTCCTAAGCCATCCTATTAATAGCCAGGAAAGATTCAGCAAATCTGTTCTCAGAGGACGGGGTGTAAAAATTTTCCCCATCTCTACTGACTGACAGTTCTATTAATAGACTAACTTTTGAACTTTACAGCACTTCTTGGTGACAACAAGCTACAAGAGACTTCACATAAAATATCAAGCTGCTAGCACAACTGAGCGTGCAGGGCAAGTTGTGCTAATTTCCCCACCACCCGCTGGTCATGCCAGGGACCTGCGTGTTGAGACCGCGGTTCTCCCTGACCAACTTGGAACATAAAGAAGCCAAAGTCCCTTGCCAACTGCCATAGTGCAAAGCAGAGCCATTTCCCTTTCCCTGGAGCCAAGTGGCCCAAAGCACCTGGCACGTCCAGAATTCCTACATGCCAGAAGTGACACATACTCCATCTCCAGAAACTAAGATTTGGTATGTTTGAGAAAGTCTGTTTACTGTGCTTCGGAAGACAGATTTGCTATTGTTCGGTTTGTCACATGAAACTGGTTTTTCTTCCTCAAATGCACAAATGAGCAGGATGGGATGGCCAGGGGGTCTCAGTGGACTGGGCCATTTTCCATCCCCTGCACCTGCCGCACTGTAACGTGAATCCCTGTTTTTTCTATTCCTACCTCCCCTCCCCCGCCCCCAAGCTTCAGTTACATTATGAATAATGCAGGCAGAATTACAGACCCGCAGCTGACAGGCTGGCTCACCCCTCCTTTCAACTCCAAAGGTGCTACCTGGACCTTCTACCACATTCCTCACAATGTGTTGGTACTTTTCACAAACCACTTCCTGGGACTCTCTTCTGCCTGTGTCATCTTCACGAACTAAAGAAGTTTCTCAAATCACATAAAGTCTGTAGCAGTTTTAAACATACCAAAGAACGCTGGGAGTAAGGCAGGCTTGACCTCAGAGCTCTTGGGTTCAGGCACACACACCGATGGTTATAAATGATTAGTACAGAAGCTGGAAAGACATGATTTTCAGGGTGCAAGATAACTTCTTCAGGCACTCCAGTATTAGGTGGTATTTTCTGGCTAGAAAGTTCCTGCCTAAAAAGGCCAGCCGAAACAGTAACTCAATCTCTAGAAGCTAGCCAGGAAAACTAATACTATGGGCCTGTCACGACGTGTCTGGAAGAGATGGGATTCTACATATGGTTTTAAGTAACAGGACATCTGTATAACTGTGAATGTAAGGAAGAACAGGATAGGTAAAAAGAGGGAAGCAGCTTGCCAAAGTCTATTAGGACAGGTCATCAGAGGAGAGGTCTACAAGTACATGATTTCAGTTAAAAAGAAAACAGTATTTTGTAAAAGTCATATATAGAAGATGACAGGTTTTGGAGGCATGAAAAGCAGGAGGAACAACAACTTGACTAAATGACTCTAGGGACATGGGCACCCGAAGAACCACGTTGGGAAGAATAAACTACCAATACAGTTGGTAGGCAGTACTTCAGTGTGATTTTGAAGGTAGTGCATAGAATTGATAACTGGATCCTGTTGCTTGGGTGGTTCGTGGGTGGGACCTTCTTAGCTGGCAAGGCCAGGCCCATGGCATATTTCCCAATGTGTGGTTTGGCATATTTTGGAAAGAGTTTTATCTGTAGTCAGACAGGTACCACTAGCTCTTGTAAGAGAGAAGTCAAAAGTGGTTACAAGTACTTGAAGACACAGCAACATATAAGTTATTAATGTTCAACCAAGATCAATATTGATCAAGACTGCTACTGATCAAAGAATCAACTGGCCTGGAAAGTGGATCTGAGAACTTGGATGAGGAAAAACGACCACACATTAAGGTTCTCAGCTGATACACAACTTTCCAAAATGGGGAATCAGTGTCAATAGTGACTTACCAGCCAAGTTAGGTTATGAATCAATTGAACATTAGAACACTGGCCAAAGTAACAGGAAAACATGAACTTGAGTAGGAGAAAAACTTTGGGGCAAACTAAAATTTTAGATTTGTGATCTAACCTGGAACTGATAGTCCTGGCTGAGTAATTAGAAAGGACTAAAATTAAAACCAATTCTGAATATAATAATGCAAATGATATATACAACTGTTTACAACTAATGTCACTCAAGCAGTGAGGATGCGCTGAGGCATTTTCCACGGTTAGAGACCAGATAAGAATGTTCCTATCTCAACAACCTCCAACTCCCACCTTCAACTTCCCCTCAAAATTCTCTAAGAGCCAATATAAAGAAGTTGATGGAAAAGAGATTTGTTCACCCTAACTCCTGGGGTGGCAGAGTGACTACTGGCAGAGGGAAAGAAATACAGAGTAAGCTGCTCTTAACAACAGTGTCTGGGGTCCCAAAGAGGATGGTCTTTATAAAAAGATTTCAGTTAGAAAGGCCATTACAGGGCCAGCCCCGTGGCTTAGCGGTTGGGTGCACGCGCTCCGCTGTTGGCGGCCCAGGTTCTGATCCCGGGCGCGCACCGACGCACCGCTTCTCCGGCCATGCTGAGGCCGCGTCCCACATGCAGCAACTGGAAGGATGTGCAGCTGTGACATACAACTATCTACTGGGGCTTTGAGGGGGAGGGGGATTAAAAAAAAAAAATGCCATTACCTTAAGCAAAGTCTCCCTTAAATGAGACTTTTATACATCATGTCTAAAATACACATAATAACCATGATCTATAAACTTACTTGCTACAGATAAGTAATTATCTCTACATCTAATTGATTCATGTAACACTAACCTGGGTTTTAGGCTATGCTGGTGTGAACAGAACTAGTTTCAAATCCTGACTTCTCAAGACCTTGGGAAAGTTGCCCAAGTTAAGTCTCAGTTTCCTCACCAGTGAGATGGGAATATCTCCTAACTCACAGGGTTGTTATTGGGAGTCAACGAAATACTGTATGTCAAATATCTATCCAAACTGTCCAACCCTCAGAAAATGTTTATGTCCTGTCCCCAAATCCCTATCTTAATTTAACCCCTCTATCTACAGTAACATGAGTAGCCAAAAGCATATTATGTTATGGCAAGATGGAGAGTCACCATAAACATATATTACACATTTCAAAACAAACATTGTGGAACAGAAGTAATCATACCAAACACATGGAATCTTCTTTTAATAAAACGTACACCTAACTAACCAGAGAGACCCCAGAAATATTGGATAGAACACTTCATCATTCCCATGGGAGGAGGTGGGGCAAGCGAAAATAAAAGCAGCCCCGGAGCACACATCTCCACTCTGAGCTGTCCAGAAGGCGAAAGCACAGCACGTCTTGCAGAGATAAGGAAGAGAGGGGACAGGCACCGAGGCCACTCTGTGCATGTCCTTGTGCCTGAATGTGGAGAGAGCAAAGGCGGGTACATCAAAGGCTGCTAATAACCTTGAATTTTGGAGACTGGGCACAGACAGCTAAGCCGTGGGACTTTTTCTCTAAGTTCCTTGGGAGCAATGCCTGGGCTTTGCTCTCCTCTAGGTGCCCCTTAGCACCTACAACAGCGCCTTCCTTGCAGAACTAATCATTGCACCGATGTGCTGGTGGGAACACAATGGAAGAGGAGATGCTCTCCAAACAACTGGAAAGGCCAGGGACCGAGGGGAAGGTACGGCACCAAGGGTGGTAACCCAGGTGGAGGGGTAAGTCCTGGGGCATTCGCTTTCGTGATGGTGCGCTCATGTCGCGGGCTGTCAGTGCGCGCGGGTGACGAAAAGGGGCCTGGGGCGACCTCGGCTGCGGTGCCGGCTCCAGAGGGTGACGGCGCGGGGACTGTGGGCTGCGGTGGGGGACGGCGCCCCGGAAGCAGTTACCTGTAGTAGCTCAGGAGCCCGTTGCTCAGCACGAACCACCGCCGCTGGTAGCCTTTGATGTAATTGGTCCATTTGAAGAGCCAGCCTTCTCGAGCCGAGCCCGA